CCCGAGGAAATGGGTGAGGCAGGAACGCAATGTGTGGCAATACCAGCATGCAGGGTGTGTGGTAAAGCAGGAGACCTGACTGTATGCATTTCTCAGACAGGGTAGCGGATGCCCAGGGAGGCAGAGGGTCACAGTGCAGGCGTCCAAAAGAGAAAAGGTGAAGACTGAGGAGGAGTGCCACCCAGACCCCCACTTCCTCCCGTCCTTGGGGAAGAGGGCATCTGGCAGGAGGATCGGGAGTGAAAGAGAAGTTCAGGCCTTGCTGACTATAGATGCTTGTTTACAGCCGCCCCTGAGCCCATCCTGTGTGTCAGGCACCTGACCCACCAAAGGTGGGTGAAGAAATGGAGGCCCCTGGACTGGGAGCATTGGACCTGGGACTTGGCCACTTTGCTGGGCTCCAGACCCTGTTCTCTTCCCAAACTGATGTCTCTTCTTTATCGAGAGGGTGAGGGGGGGCCGGGGGTGGGGGCGACGACAGACATTGGGGTTAGAGGTAGGACTTCCAGGGCCAAGACCTCTGCAGTCAGGGTAGGGTATGAAGCCACCTTGGAGGGCTCTCTGGTTTGGAACGTACTTTTTCAAAATGACTCGAGGGCCAGAAAGGGCTGGGCCTGCTTCACCTGAGGGGATGGGTTGAAGGCTGGTTCTCCTTCTTCACCTCTCACCGCCTCTGAAAGACTGCCTGGCTAGCTCCCAACACCACAGTGAGCCAGGCAGGGCTTGGCGAGGTTCTTTAAGTGGATCCAAGGTTGGGGTAGTCGGGCGGTGCCTCCAGGAGGAAGTGACAACTAAACAACCTACAAGGACAGAGAGAGACCTTGCCCTCTTTCCCCACCATTTTATGTCCTCAGCACCCAGCCTGGGGCAATAAACATTCTATGGGCCCTCCAGGCAGAGGGCAGCATTTGTAAAGCTGGGTGTGTGGAATTGTACAGTGTGATGGGAGCAAAGGGTCAGGCAGTGAATGGTGGACTTTGAGGCTGCACACATCAGCAGAGGCCTGAGATTATGAGATGCTGTTGTTGTGTGCTTTCCCTTATCTCTGAAGCACCCTGGCTTCAGTGGACCCCATCTGGCCCCCTTGGGTGGGAGAAGAACATGGGGCTGGGGACCTGGACTCCTAGCCCACTCCCATCTGCTCTTGGTGGGGGGTGTCTTATTGGATGGTTGTGACAACTCCTGAGGAAGAGGCTGGAGATGTCCTGCGGTGGATGTGTGAGGCCAGGAAGTCCAGGAAGGGCGTGTGCCCTGGTATTTATTGCCTTCCACAGGCCCTTCCACATGAGGTAGCTGGAAAGACACCAGGAGAGGAGTGGGCACAATTGTCAGCAGTAGAGAGGGGTGGGCTGGAGAATGTTCTGGAAAGGAGGGGTGGCAGGTTCTAGGTGGTTCTTCCTGCTAGTGAAGATGGTTTCTTTGCTAGAGATCAACCACCTGGACAAAAGTCCTTGCAGGTGCCTTTCCATCTATCTATCCTGTCTGGATTATCTGAGCCTCGTGGGTCGGAACTATCACTGCGCCCAGCTGGCGTGGCTCAGTGATTGAGCATTGACCTGTGAACCAGGAAGTCGTGGTTCAATTCCATGCCCGGGCTGTGGGCTCGATCCCCAATAGGGGTCATGCAGGAGGCAGCCAACCAATGATTCTCATCATTGATGTTTCTCACTCTCCCTTCCTCTCTGAAATAAAAAAATATATATTAAAAATAAAAAAATAATAAATGCAAGTTTCAGGAAGGTAATTCTAAAAAATAATAGTAAAAAAATAAACTAGTCAGTGCCACACATCCTTGATTGTTTTCCAGGCTACTGCCTTCTAGCACCCCTCCCCCACCAGAGTGTCCAGTGGCAGTGGTCACTACTAATCCCTCGCTGAAGACTGAATGCTGGGTGCCTCGGTGTGGTCGGGGCTGCTCCTTATCCACACCCCGTCTCACACACGTGCAATTCCATCCATGCCCATAGATTTAAACATCGGCCACGCACTCATGAGTCCTGCCTGGCCTTCTCCCACCCCTACCCAGCTTGTCTTCACACTGAACCCAACTACCCCCAAATCCTCTCACCCATCCTGGTTCACTCACTTCCTCAGACTCTTAAGAATTTTTATTTTTTCTGTATTTCACTTGTGAGACTGTGATTAATAATAATAAATACAAATTTAGTCTTTGTCACCGGTCCTGGCACAGACCTCCTAACACTGTGGGAATTGACATGGATAAAGTTATCTTATTATGTTAACGAGGTGACTTTTGGAAAGCCCCTTAGTCACCTAAGGATGGGGGCTGGTTGTCAGGGGACCCAACTATGTGTCAGTCCCACCCCAGGACCTCCCAGGAGGGGAGAGAGGCCAAAGGTTGAATCAATCACCAATAGCCAATGAGTTAATCAATCATGCCTGTGTAGTAAAGATTCCATTAAAAAAAAACACAATACGACAGGGTTCAGAGAGCTTCCAGGCTGTGAACACATGGAGATTTGAGGGTAGTGATGCCTGGAGGGGGCATGGAACTCTGTGCCCTTTCCCCATACCTGGCCCCACACATCTCTTCCATCTGGCTGCTCCTGAGCTATATCCTTTACAAACCAGTGATCTAGCAAGTAAACTGTCTCTCCGAGTTCTGTGAGCCATTCTAGCAAATACATCAAACCCGAGAATGGGGTGGTGGCAACCTCTGATATGTAGTCCATTGTCAGTCAGAAGCCCAGGTGAAGTCAGGAGAGGCAGTCTTGCAGGACAGAGTCCATACCTGAAGGATCTGACATTGTCTCGTTAGGTGGTGTCAGATTTGCTTGCTGGTAGGGGTAGAAAACCCACATGTCAGACCTAAAATCAGATTTGTAGACTTTTTAAATATATCTACACTAATAAAAGACAAAGACGCTAATTGACCATACCTTCACTACGCCCAAGCCACATCCACCAGCCAATCAGAGCGACTATATGCAAATTAACCCAACCAAAATGGCGGCCGGCAGCCACGGAGCTGGAGCAAGCTTGAGGCTTGGTTGCCCTGGCGATGGAGGAAGCCAAGCTTCCCACCTGCCCTGGCCGGCTGAGGCCTCCGCTCAAGGCAACAAAGTTTCAATTATAGAAGATAAATAAATACCAGAGACCTGCTTCCAGCCAGCCTCCACTGGGAGCTTGGGTGGCTGGGGGCTGTGGCCAGCCTGCAATCAGCCATCAGCCCCTCACCTGGGCTGGCCAGGCACCCCAGTGGGGCCCCCCACCCTGAAGGGGCTGTGGCCAGCCTGCAAACAGCCATCAGCCGCTCACCCAGGCTGGCCAGGCACCCCAGCAGAACCCCCCCAACCCCCCACTCCCTGAAGGGGGTGTGGCCAGTCTGAAAACGGCCCTCAGCCCCTCACCCAGGCTGGCCAGGCACCCCAGTGGGACTCCCACTCTGGGACACACTTCAGTGCAAACCAGCCGGCCCCCACCCATGCACCAGGCCTCTATCCTATATAATGAAGGGGTAATATGCAAATTGATCCTACCAGCAGATCAACTGGGAATCACTGGTCACTATGACACACACTGGCCACCAGGGGGCAGACGCTTAATGCAGGAGCTGCCCCCTGGTGGTCAGTGCACTCCCATGGGGGGAGCTCTGCTCAGCCACAAGCCAGGCTGATGGCTGCCAGTGCAGCGGTGGTGGTGGGAGCCTCTCCCGCCTCCTCAGCAGCGCTAAGGATGTACGATTGCAGCTAGGCCTGCGTCCCGCTAGCAAGTGGACATCCCCCGAGGGCTCCCTGGCTGCCAGAGGGATGTCTGGCTGCCAGCTTAGACCCAATCCCCCAGGGAGCGGGCCTAAGCCAGCAGGTGGTCATCCCCCCGAGGGTTCCCAGACTGCAAGAGGGCAGAGGCCAGGCTGAGGGACCCTACCGAGTGCACAAATTTTTGTGCACCGGGCCTTTAGTATATATATAATTTTTTATTTCAGAGATGAAGGGATAGGGAGAAAAAGATAGAAACATCAATGATGAGAGAGAATCATTGACTGGCTGCCTCCCATACGCCCCCTACTGGGGATCAAACCCGCAACCTGGGCATGTGCCCTGGCTGGGAATCAAACCATGACCTCCTGGTTCATAGGTTGACTCTCAATCATTGAGCCACGCCAGGTGGGCAGAACTGTATGGACTTTTTAAATACAAGTGTTTTCATTTGCACAGAGAAAAGGGCCCACATCATACATGCACAGCTCAGTGAACTTTCTTAACTGAGGCCTGAACCTTCCAGCCCTCTGCAGGCCCCTCCGGTCACTACCTGCCCCTAAGAGCAACCACTCCCCTGATGGCCGGCTGTGTGGCTGGCAGAACAGCTCCCCTTGAAGATGTCCATGTCCTAATCCCTGGACCTGGGAGCATGTTACCTCACATAGCAAAGGGGAGTTAGTTTGCAGAAGGAATTAAGGTTACTAACAGGCTAACCTTGAGATGGGAGATGACCCTGGACTCCCTATGGGTCCCAAAGTAACCTCAGGGGTCCTTACAAGAGGGAGGCAGGAGGATCTTGAGAAAGGGAGACACTGTGAGCTACTCAAGATGGCAGGGTCTGCAGATGGGGCTGGTCCCGTGATAGCCCCTGGTGGAAAGCTGGCTCACCTTAGTTACTGCTCCGTTACCCAGGAAGCTCGGTCTTGCTGTTGGTTCTCTCGCCCAGCTGCCACCGTGGTTTGGGATAGCGAATGAGACAGTGACATTCATACCTCATGGGGAGTCCACATTGGGAAGGGAAGCCAGCCAGGGAGTTACAGATTTCCTTAAATTTTTGGTGTTGGGGCTGCATCCAAAACACTTTTCCGGGCATTTGATAACATGAGGTCGTGACCCTACTTCCTTAACTTCTGGCCATCATCGTCTTGTCTGTCAAGTACAGAATAATAACTGCTGTCATGAGCCGTGTTGTTAAAGGTCAGGAGGCGCCAGGCTGAGCACTGTGTGTACCTAACCAGGCCCAGCTGAGAGGTGGGTATTACTGTCCCTGTTTTACAGATGAACTTGAGGTTCAGGGAGATCGAGTCATTTGTCTGAAGACGTACAGACCAAGTTCCTCCTACACTGGCTGTAATAAACTCCGGACTGCAGGTGCTGGGGGCATGAGGGCCGGGTGATGGGCCTTCCAGCTTCACCCTACACGGTGAGCTCCCCGTAACTGGACCGTCTGTCCGCAGGATGTGGTCTAGTCTGAACGAGTGGCTGTGGCAGGACCGCTTCTGGCTACCTCCCAATAACTCATGGGCTGACCTAGAGGACCGGGACGGCCTGGTCTATGCCCACCCCCAGGACTTGCTGGCAGCCTTGCCCCTGGCACTGGTCCTGGTAGCCATGCGCTTCACCTTCGAGAGGTGAGTGTCTTGTGGTCCTGTGCTCCACCCTGTGTGGGGCTTTGTCCTGAAGTGTCTCTGGCTTTGAACCAAATTGCCCCTTACTCCATCCTGCCCCTAGCTGCCACCACTCACGTTTCTTCTGGTCTCTGATGGCTGTTTTGTCGCAGCACTGACTGCAGCTCTAGTCTGGCTATGCCAGCATCTTCAGAAAACGGGTGGGCATATGCCCAACTTGCTGACCAAGGACACGTCTGCAGAGGCCAGTCAGTCAGAGAAACTCCTGTCCACTCCCGCCTCCTCTTCCTCTGTAGGCAAGCCAGTCCCTCACCCTGACCACTTCTCTCTGGTTCCCCATTGCTCCTTCTATCCCACCCTCCTCCTCCCCTTTTTAGCCAAAGAAAGGAGCGTGGGCCTCCCCTGGCCTCCCTTTGGGATTCCCTCCACTCGCCCCCAGTCTCCTGCAGCCGGCACTAGCCCCTCCCGGCTGCCAAACCCTGTAGATTTTCAGTCATTTCTCAGATGACCCAGATGCTGCTCAGAATTGGGCTTCTTCCTCTTGCCCTGGGTGTCCTTCTCCTGGGCTCCCTCCCCCTGTCCCAGGTAGTCCCACCCTTTCCCGTGTGACCAGTGCTGTGATCACAACTAGACCTGCCTTGCCAGGGGAGGGTCCCTCTCTCCCCTTTCTCCACATGCGCTTCCTCCACTTCTCACACCCATTCCTGGTTTGCACACACTCCTTTGCAGTTCCTTTAAGGCTGGGTCCCAAGGAAGCCTGCCCTGCCCCTCCCACCACAGAGCCCTAACTCCCTTCCACCACTCTGGTCCCCACCTCTGTCTAGCCCTGACCACAGGGACAGGGAGGCATCCTGCATCTTGCTTTCTCTCTTCTACGCATAAGGAGCTTCCTGGATACGGGCTTCTTGGACACGGGGGACCCACTGATGCATTTACCTTACAGGCACCCTTTGAGCACTTATCTGTGCCAACCGCTGCTCTAAGCAGTTGTGTCTTAACCCACTGTGCCCTCAATGCAGCCCTGAGAGGTGGTATTATTACTATCATCCCCATCTGACAGAAGAAATGGAGGCACAGAGAGGTCAGGTGACCTGCTTGAGGTCACACAGTGGGTTGGCCAGTGGAGACTGAGGCTTCACCGGAGGCATTCTGGGAGGCACAATTAGCCAGTCCTTGATGGGTGGTCTGCTTTCCCCGGGGTGGGAAGTGCCGGAGGGGTGTGCCCAGGTTCGCCACTGGACCCCAAGGGAGGTTTGCATATTTAACTGAGGGCCCCAACTGAGGTGAAAGTGTTATCCCGTCCCAAAGGGCAGTGGGCGTGGGGGGAAGGCAGGGTTTCCCCTTCAGTAAGGGAAGGTGAACCCTGGATTTGAATTCCAGGTGTTCCACCCACTGTGTCACCTCGGCACATTTCCGACCTCTCTGAGCCTTTCGTCCATCGGACACAGGATGACGACAATAGGGTTAAGTGCATGTGCTTGGCAGATCATAAGCACTCAGCACATGTCAGCCCTTGCAGGGCTGCTCTGAGCCTGTTTCCTCAATGAAGCCTCGATATTAGAATGATAGGTGTGAAATTCAGTCCCGACTCCTGGCCTTAGGAGCCCCTTTGTGGGCAATGTGGTGATTGATGAGAGTCCAGCTCCTCCAAGTGTCCACCCTGGATTGGGGGAGGGGGTAGCCCCAGCCTGGTGGGGGCCAGACCAGGATGAAGGCACCATGAAACAGGCAGTGAGCGGACTCTGACCCCTGGTTTGGGGTTAGATTGAATGAAGGTGATTTGGTACCCCCAAATTTGACCACACCCCAATTCTGAAGACCAGTCCAGCTACCTTTCTTATGTTCAGTTTAATGCAGCAGCCAAGCTATCCTCCAGGGTCCCAGGGTATGACCTGCCCCTTCCAAGCCTCAGTTTCCCTGCCTGTAGCATGTATATCCCTTCTCACCTGGACTGACAAGCCCTGTGTCCCCTGCACCCAGACTCATCGGCCTGCCCTTGAGCCGGTGGCTGGGTGTGCGGCATCAGTCCAGGAGGCCAGTAGAACCCAACGCCACACTGGAGAAACACTTCCTCATGGAAGGATGGAGACCCGACAAGGTGAGGACCCCTGATACCCTCTTCCATCCCCATCTGCCTGTATGGCTGCAGTGTGGATGGGGCTAGGAATGGTATGTAGCCCACTTCTTGGGGACAGAAAGCCCAGGGCAGCCCCGTCCGCGCCCCACCCCAGTGCCTCACCCACTCCCACTCCATCCGGTCCCTTATCAGTGAGCTCAGCTGACCAGTGGGCAGCTCCTGGGCCTGGAGAGGGTGAGGGGAGGGGGGTTTCTCTCTTGTTCTGGGGAAGAGTGGAAGGGCTGACTGTGCTGGGGGTTCTGCAGTCATGACTCTACCTCAGTTCCTGCCCGTGGCATGGCTGCCCCTGGACAGGGTCTGGGCTGGGTCCTGAGGGGGAAGAGGGAAGGGAGAGGTCTTCCTACCCCGGGAGGAGGGGGTTCAGCTCCTGCAGAATAGAGAGCCTTGTGACCCAGCCCCCCTCTGCACGTAGGGGTCAGGACTAGGTCTCAACTGCCCGCCTGGAATAGGGCTGAGAACGCTCTCTTCTATAGGGAGGGGTACAGGAAAACCTCTGTGGGGAGCTGCTCCCATACCCCAGCCCCTTCCTTAATCCCAGTCCCCATCCGTCATCTGCCTGTCCTGTGAGCAGGGCTGAGTTCTCATAGGCCTGACTGTTTGGGGGGCCCTACCCCATACCCCACAACTCCCCTATCTCCATAGGTAGACAGCCCCACAGGTGAGGTCTGGAGCTGCAGGGGAGGGAGTAGCAAAGCTGGGTCCCACCTTTCCGGGGACAGGAATGGGACGCCATCTCTCTGACCCTGGCCCCCGTCACCCCTTTCCCAGCCTCGGATGGCTGTCCTGGCCACACAGTGTGGCCTCACGCTTCGGCAGACCCAACGCTGGTTCCGAAAACGCCGAAACCAGGACCGGCCTTGCCTGACCAAGAAGTTCTGCGAAGCCAGGTCAGCCCGGGGTAGGACTTGGGGGATGTGGGGGAGGGGGAGGGTCTGCTGTGTCAGCAGCTGCCTCAGGGGCTTCCTGTCTGTCTGCAGCTGGAGGTTTCTCTTCTATCTGTGCTCCTTCATTGGTGGCCTCTCCGTCCTCTACCACGTGAGTGTTCTGACTGCTTCCTGTCCCTCCACCTGTCCCACAAGCACCTACTGTGCGCTGGGCCTGGCTTGGGGGTGAGGGGGCGTGGAGGGGTGTGAGCAGTGGGGAAGGCTGTGCACAGGAGAAGGAGGGAGAACTTGGCACACATCATGGTAGATGTTCCCTCCACAGGAGCCTGTTGGGACCTATTGTGGTTGGGGCTGGGATCCGGCAGTGAGTGAGGCCCTGGTTTAGAGTGAGAGCAGAGAGGTAACCGGGTGGGAAAGATCAGAGCTGAGTAGCCTGGCTGGGGTTGCTCATTCGTTGGGCATCGTTCCATGCACCAAAGGTTTGTTGGTTTGACTCCGGTCAGGGCACATGCCTAGGTTGCAGGCTCAGTTCCCTGCAGGAGGTGTGTGTGCAGGAAGCAGCCAGCCAACCCATGTTCCACTTTCACATCAATGTTTCTCTTTCTCTTCCCCCTCTTGTCTCTAAAAGTCAATAAAAATATTTTTTAAAAAAGAAAAAAAGATCAGAGCTGAGTGACAGCAGCATCTCAAGGGCCAAGGAGGTCCCAGGCCTGGGGTGGTGAGCTGGGGTCTGATCTTTGGGCAGTTTCAGATGTCTGTGTGTGTGTCTCTCCCCACCCCCACCCGCCCCCTTCCCCACCTCCCAGGAGTCATGGCTGTGGAGGCCAGCAATGTGCTGGGACAATTACCCAAACCAGGTGAGTCGCAGGGGTGCCTGGGGGCTGGAGAGGGGATTGGGGTAGTCAGAGTCCCTGTGGCCAAAGGCAGCAGAACCACACCTGGACATGACAGCACGTTCCCCCTCCAAGTCTGACTGTCTATTTCTGCCTCCCCTGCAGAATGCAGAGGGGCTAGGAGGCAGGAAACTTGGAGCAGGAGGTGCCCTTGGTTATCTCCAGGGATACGGATCTCACACCTCTTCGCTCACTGGGATTCAAGGGTCCTGGTTTTGAGCAAATTGGGGAGGGCCCTGAGGGAGTTCGCCCTCAGCTAACCCTGTCCCACTCACCCTGCCTCAGCCCCTGAAGCCAGCCCTGTACTGTTGGTACCTCCTCGAGCTGAGTTTCTACATCTCACTGCTGATGACACTGCCCTTCGACATCAGGCGCAAGGTGAGGACCGGCCAAGATTCCCGCCGGGGAAGCGAAGTCCTGGGGGGGTCGGGATCAGCTCAGTGGGGGGATGGCCTCACCCCGACCTGGAGACCCTCTGGTACCTCAGGCAGGAAGCATGGTGCCAACCAGTCCCCGAGAGGGCCCTCTGGCCACCCAGCCTTGTCCCAGGGTCACCCACTGTCTCTCGTAGGATTTCAAGGAACAGGTGGCGCACCACCTCGTGACCATCATCCTCATCACCTTCTCCTACAGCGCGAACCTGCTGCGCATTGGCTCTCTGGTGCTGCTGCTGCATGACTCCGCTGACTACCTGCTGGAGGTGGGCCCAGCCCACCCCTCTCAGCAGTCCTTCCCCACCCTCCCAGGTGCCCCTGGAGATGGGGCCCTGCCCCTCAGTCTTCCGGTGAGGTGAGGCCCCGCCCCCTCAGCTTTCCGGGGAGAGGAGACCCCGCCCTATCCAGGCTTCCTAGGAATCGTGTCCCTGACCCTCTTTGTCTTCCTAGGAGGTGAGGGCCACCCCCTAAGATTCCTGGAAGGTGAGGCCCCACCCTCTCAGGTAGTTGAAGCTTCTGGCTCAGAGACCCACTCTGTACCTTTCTAGGCAGTTCCTGGAGATAAGGCTCTGCCCCACGGCACCTTTTCCTTGAGAAGAGGCCTCACCCCTTCCTACCTGGTTCCCCTCCCTACCACCCGCCTGAGTCCTCTCTGCTGTCTCCCCAGGCCTGTAAGATGTTCAACTACACGCACCAGCGGCGAGTGTGCAACTCTCTCTTCCTCATCTTCTCCTTGGTCTTCTTCTACACTCGCCTTGTGATCTTCCCCACCCAGTGAGTCAGACCTCTAGTCGGGGGCTGGGGAGGTGGGTGGGCGCAGCTGGGATCCAGGCCTGCCTCACCCCGTTCCAGACCCAGGGAGCAGGGGGTGTTGGCAGGGAGGCTTCCCTGAGGAGACAAAGACGGGTGTTGTGTTCCCAGCCCCAGGCACAGCACGTGCTAAGGGCCAGAGGCAAAAGAGACCGAAAACTGGGCTCAGTCCTCATCCCCTGTGTGCCTGGAACATGGAACAGATGGCAGGGTCTGTCACCAGCTCACTCAAGTCTGCCCAGTGCATTTGCTGAGCCTCTCCCAGCAGAGGGAGCAATCTAAAGATCTCTGCTCACATGGAGCTGACTTTGGGGGAAAATAAAGAAGGCAAACAAGTAGAAAGAAAGAGAAAGTAAAGTCAGGCACGGAAGTGTGTGGGTCGTTGGACGGTCAGGGGGTCACTGACAGTGCTCATGCAGGAAGACTGGAGTGAGGGAGGGAGAGGCCGTGCTGACCACAGCAGAAGAGTGCCCCAGGCAGTGGGAGCAACACAGGCAGAAGCCCTGAGGCTGGACTGGGCCTGAGCAGCAAGGAGGCCCATGTGACAGGAGCAGAGTGAGCTAGACACCGAGAGGGAGGTTGTGAGGGCAGGTAGGGGACTAGACAGGTTGTGCAGGGCCTTATGGGCCACTGGGAAAGACGGGCTTTATCCCAAGTGAAATGAAGGATTCTGAGTAGAGGAGGGAGGGGACCTGACTCCGGTGCTCACAGGCACCCTCTGGTGGCTGCAGAGAGAACAGCTGGTGAGAGCCCCAGAACCAACACCCTGACCCCTACCCCCCATCGCAATCCTGGCCCAGGAGCCTGGGAGCCAGGGCAGAGGCCACTGCCCTGATCCAAGTGAGCGATGATGGGACCAGACCAGCGCAGGTGAAGTGGGTGGACTCGGGGTCGTGAGATGGTTATGAGCTCAGAGTTGTCATGTCAGGATTAGGAGCTCAGCTCTGGCTGTGTTGGGGTTGAGGGGCCTCCAAGGACCCCCAGAAAAGACATGAGGAAACAGTGGGCACACCAACTGGGAGAGAGATGAATATTCAGTGTTTGCCCCCATGAGACTGGACAGGGTCATCCAGGGACCAGGTATGGACAGAGTCCCAATGCTGGAGCCCCTGATGTTTGCCAGTCAAGGGGAGCCTGCAAGGGAGATGCCGATTTGGGGGGGGGGGGGGGGGGGGCGGAGTATGGGTCCCTGAAGGTATTTGAGGAAAGGGTACCAGGGAGAAGGAGGAGCCAGGCAGATCTAGAGAAGAAAAGGTGTGCAAAGACCACCAGCAGAGCAGTGGGAATACAAAGTGCTGCTCCCTTGGGGCTCATGGTTGTGCACAGGCCAGTTGGTAAACTTGTGTGACCTGCTCATAACCAAGTGAGGGGGGGGCATTTAAATGCCCTGGGGACAATGGGGAGCCATCAAAGGTTCTGGAGTAGGGAAGGTCACACAAGTTAGAGCTTCTCCCTCCTGCCTGCCTACCTGCCTGCCCCAGGATCCTCTATACCACATACTACGAGTCCATTGCCAACTCGGGCCCCTTCTTCGGCTATTACTTCTTCAACTCGCTTCTGGTGATACTGCAGCTGCTGCATGTGTTCTGGTCTTGCCTCATCCTTCGTATGATCCACAGCTTCATAAAGAAAGGCCAGGTAGGGCCGAGCAAGGGTGGGCTCCTGTATGCCACCCTGGAGCCCCAGCCGAGCCTTGTGCCCACTCCTTGTTCCCTAGATGGAGAAGGACATTCGCAGTGATGTGGAGGAGTCGGCCTCAAGCGAAGGGGAGGAGCTTCCGCAGCTCAAGAATGGAGCAGCTCAAGGCCCCCCGGCAGTCCCCACTGATGGCCCTCGGAGCCGGGCAGCGGGGCGGCTGGCCAATGGGCACATGTTGGCCTCCTAGCTGGCTGAGGATTGGCGTGAGGGCTGCCCCAGTGCCTTGGATTTGTGGGGTGCCTGGACTGGTGGCCTTTGGGCCAGCTCTGTGGAGACAGAGAGGGCCCCACCCAGGGTGGGAGGAGGACTGATGATCTGTCTCCAGCCCCTTCCTTCTGCCTCCCCTCCCACCTCCCCTCAGGCCACTAGACAGAGCTGGGGGTGGGCAGCAGCAGGGTGCTGCAGCCCACCAGAGCCATCCCCAGGCAGTAAGGCGTACAATAAAACTTGAACAGAGCCAAATTCTCTGCCTCAGTGTGTCCCTGTCACAGCTCCTCAAAGGCCTGAGGAAGCCAGGACTCTGTTTACATACCCCACTGACAGGACACTCACTGCCACCTCAAGACTCACGCCCAGTCCCACGAGACCCAGACAACAGGCAGCTTGTGAGCGGAAGCCACCTCCTGCCACCAGAGCAGCCCTCAGCTAGCTGCTCACCCAGATTTCAGCTGGAGGTCACAGAGGTCAGAGGCCAAGCAAAAGGGCGAAGGGAGGTTCATCCCTATCCTTGCAGCTCTTGCTCAGTGCTGGCAGAACCCCACCCTCATGGTCCTCTGGGCCTCCTTGGAGACAGGAAAACAGGGCCCGTGAGTGGGGCTTCCCATGGGCTTCCCCAGGGTTAACCTGGGTGAGGTCACTTTCTCTTCAGAGCTCTGCAGGAAGGTGCCCCCTCTTCCCAGCTGAGGCAGGCTGACTGTCCCATACCCTGAAATCATAGCCAGCCCGGCCCCATGCAGGACCAGAACATGCTGCCCTCAGGAGAACAACAAAAAGGAAGAGTTGTAGAAACTAAAGTAGGAAATGGTAGAGGTGGGGACAAGGGGGAGAGGAAATGGGTTAGAGACGGAGGACACGTCATTGAGAGGGGAAGCAAACAGAGGAACAGATCTGAGAGAAGAAATGGCTAGGAGAGGTGGCCGTGGAAGAGGGACAGAAGAGGCAAGAGAAGACGCCCTGTCAAGACGGCTGAGGGACAGGAGTGGGAAGGCAGAAGAGAGAAGGATGCAGGTCTGTGCAAACCAGCAGGTGAGAATGGAGTGGGGACAGACACATGGCAGAGGAGGAAGGTCTCTGCTTTGTCTCCACTGAGAGAGACGGTGGAGGGAGAGGAAAGAGATTCAAGAGAAAGGGTGTTTAAGATGCTGGAAAGGGGCTAGGAAGATGGGAGGGGGAAGAACAGAAAGAGAGGAGAGGGGCAGGTAGTGTGGGAACCAGGGACATTGGGGTAATGGGAGAGAAAGAGGCCCTGGAGAGAGAGTGGGCTGACAGCAGAGAAAGCTGACCCGGAGCTCAGAGGATGAATGAAGTGTCAGATTTGTGAGGTGGAAGGACCTTGGGGGAAAGGGAGAGAAGATTGAGAAATGGCAAAGAGGGAAAAACGGAGTATAAAAGGGTTATCAAATAGGATGTTACAGTAAATATTGAGAGAGAGAAGCAGATCCTCAGAGGAGGGAGCCATGGGAAGATGAACAGGTTACTCAGCGGAAAGGTGCAATTTGGCTTTGAAGCAAATAAAAAGATGCTCAACATGTTTTTTTTTTTGTTTTTTTTAAGTGCAAATGAAAATGACAAATTGTTTCTCACCAGCTATCCTGGCAAAAGTGCCGGTGACGGCGCCCTCTGGTGGTGATGTTTGCAGGGAAGGGGAGCTGCTGTGGCATAGGCCGTTGAGGGGAGCTGGGCTTTCACTGGCAGGACAGGCGATTTCATCTTTATCTCTAAAGAGACATCTAGAGCTCCCTAGTACGCCTACAGGTCAGTAAAGAAAGCAGAAACCTAAAGAGAGAATAAGAAAAAAGACACAATGCACACTTACAGAAGAGAGGACATTTATGACCAATAAACATGAAGACACACTCAATCTCATTCATAATCAGGATAATGCCAAGCAAGACAGATACCATTTTAGACCCATTCAGTTGTCAAAAATAAATACATTGGACAAAGCAAGTGGGATCAATAAGAACCAGATATTACTGGGGACAGTGTAAACTGGTACAATCTTTTGGGAAACCATCATGTAAAATTGTTGACAATTTTATAAAGTTCAGAGCATCTCAAAATGATGTATTGTTTAGGCATAAATTTCTGTCTAGTAGAACTACAGTAGCCCCCCCCCCCCTATACGAGATCCTCAGCAGATGGATCCTATGTTTATGGTGTTCCCCCAAAACATACCCGCTTTGAATGATTATAAAGGCTGTGTTTATTAAAATGCATTTCATTTTCAAAATTGAGCTATTAGTGTGTATACATTTTGGGGGAATACCCTGTATACTATGTTTTGTTTATTTCTGGAGTTTTCCATTTAATATTTTTGTACAGCAGTTGACCACAGGTAACAGACCTCAGAAAGTGTGGCTAGGGAGACACTAGTGCATTTATTTAGTAAACAAAATATAGACAGAAAATTCAGAAGACTGATATGTTACCTTTGACCTGCGAAGCAGAGGAATGGGACTCGGGTAGATATAAATTACTGTCACTATTCTAGTTTTTGAAGTTGTGAGGTGTGGTGACAGATATATTATTAATAAATACAATTTGAAAGGGATATGCAGACTTCACTCATGTGGGATCTAAAACTGAAAGCATCTGCCCTAGTTGGTTTGGCTCAGTGGATAGAGCGTCAGCCTGTGGACTGAAGGGTCCTGGGTTCAATTCTGGTCAAGGGCACATGCCTGGGTTGTGGACTCCATCCCCAGTAGGGGGCGTGCAGGAGGCAGCAAATCAGTGATTATCACCATTGATGTTTCTCTCCCTCTCTGAATAAAAAATATATATATTTAAAAAATAAAACTGAAAGCATCAAATGAACTAATAAGATAAAACTCAGACACAACAGTATGGTGGTTACCAGAAGGAAAGAGAGATGAACGGGTGGTGAAGGGTAGAGGGGGTGGAGTGTATGGTAGCAGAAGGAGACTTGACTTTGGGTGGTGGACATAATGCAATATACAGATGATGTATCATAGAATTATACACTTGAAACCTATACAGTTGTATTAATCAATTAAACCCCAATAAATTTAATTTTTAAAAAGTATTTTAAAGGCGATATGCAAAAAGACAACATGCAACCCGGGAGAAAGTATTTGCAAGCCATATATCTGAAAAAGGCCCAGTATCCAGAATATGTAAGGAACTCTTACAGTTCAAGAACAACAAAAAGGATAGGCAAAGGACTTGACATTTCTCCAAAGAAGATGTACAAATAGTTACAAGCACATAAAAAGATGTCCAGCAAATCAAATGATGTTCCATGTAAATCAAAACCACAAGATGCCACTTCACATCCATAAGGATGGATGTGGCAAGAAATGAAATAGCCAGTGTTGGTGAAGATGGGGAAAAACTGGAACAACCTCATACATTGCTGGGAACATACGATGGTTAACACTGGAGCACAATTTGGCAGCTCCTCAAAAAGTTAGTTACATATGACTCCGTTGAAAACAGGGACTCAAAATGTTTTGCATGAATGTTCACAGCAGTACCATTCATAATAGCCAAAAGATGGAAACCACCCCCAAGGTCCATCAACAGGTGAATGGACAGATTGTGGTCCATCCACACAATGGAATATTATTCAGCCATAAAAAAGAGATACAGCCCTGACCTAGTGGCTCGGTTGGTTGGAATGTCATCCCATACACCTAAAATTTTCAGGTTGGATCCCAGGTCGGGGTGCCTATGGAAGGACTAGGCTGTGGGTTTGATCCTCAGAAGAGGTGTGTAAGGGAGGCAACTGATCTATATTTCTCTCCTCTCTCTCTCTCTCTCTCTCTCTCTCTCCTTTCTCTCCCTCTCTATTAAAAAAAAAAACACAAAAGCACCACATGCTACTACATGGAATAACTGTTTCATGGGTAGGGAGATTTTTGGGAGTGAGCCTTAAGAAAGAACTCCCATACTCGCTGTGGCAGCACCTACTAAAATTGGAATACAGAGAAGATTGGTGTGGTCCCTGCAAAAGGATGACACGCAAATTTGCAAAGTATTCCATTACAAAACAAAACAAAAAAACCCTCCCAAATATCAGCAAGAAAAAGAACCAACCAAAAGTAAAGGGACAAACAGGATATGAACAGGCAAGTTACAGGAATGAAATTTTAAGAATAGTTAAATACGATGGAATTAATCAGTCTTTAAAAGGAAGGAAATTCTGACACAGGCTATGACTTGGATAAATTTTGAGGACATTATGCTAAATGAAATAAGCCAGACACAAAAAGACGAATATTGTGTGATTGCACTTATATGAGGTCCCTACAGGACTCAACTGTGTAGAAACAGAAAATAGAATGGCGGGTGCCTGGGGCTGGAGGAGGAAGAAATGGAAAGTTATTTAATGGTTTCAGTTTTGCAAAATGAAGAGTTCTGGAGATTGATTACACAGCAATGTGAATATTCTTAACCCTACTAAAATGTACACTTAAAAATAGGTTGGTGCCTGCTTGGTGTGGTTCAGTTGGTTGAGCATTGTCCCATGCACAGGATGTCATGGTTCGATTCCCAGTCAGGGCACATGCCTGGGTTTGGGGCTTGATCCCCAGTAGACGGCGTGTAGGAGGCAGCTGATTGATGTTTCTCACTGATGTTTCTCTCTCCCTCTCCCTTTCTCTCTCTGAAATCAATGAAAACATGTTTTAAAAATTAGTTAAGATGGTAATTTTATGTTCTGTGTATTTTTACTACAATTTTAAAAAATGGGAAAAGTCAGTAAATTAGAAATAGAGGTGAACTTACTCAACTTGATAAAGAACATCTACCCAAAACACTCGACAGCTAGCATCATACTTAATGCTGAGAAACTCAAACTTCCCACTAAGATCAGAAACAAGGCAAAGAAGTCCCCTCTCACCTCTCCTTTCCAGTTCCTACTTAAGGTCTAGGCAAGAAAAGGGAAAGAATACAGATTTAGAAGGAAGAAATAAAACTTTGCTCCTAGATGATATGATTGTCTATGTAGAAAATTCAAAAAAAATTTTGACCAAAAGAACCTGTTGGAACTAATAAACCATTATAGCAACATTGCAAGAAACAGGGTTAATATATAAAAGTCCATCACTTTCCTATGTACCAGCAATTAAAAAGTGGAATTTGAAATTAAAAACACAATACCAGTTGCATTAGCATCCCTCCCCCAAATTAAATACTTTGGTATAAATCTAATAAAATATGTATAAGTTCTACATCAGGAAAACTATAAACTCTGATGAAAGAAGTAAAAAAAACCCCTA